GTGTGTGTGTGTGTGTGTGTGTGTGTGTGTGTGTGTGTGTTTACCACTCTCCTAGGTCTACAGAGGTAGTCTTTGTGTGGTGGATTCATTTTTCTAAATTTTCCTGGTTGGCACAAAAGTCTTGTTTTGTGACAAAAAAAAATCTCAGGCACTGAGACAAAACCTTAGTTTAAAATGCACATGTGTGCAAATAAATAAAACGAAATGAAAATATACCAGAGGAAATGTAATGCAATAACATTTGCAACCAGGGTTCACTGTAAAACAACATGTGCTCCCCATGACCCAGTTTCTCCTCGTGTTGATTGTGTTCATTTGATTCAGCTGTGTCTCTGTAATTACCTCATTTAGTTCCTGCTATTTAGCCCAGTGTTTTCCTGTGTCGAGTGTCCGGTGTTTAATGTCATTTGAGTCTCCTGTGTTCCCTATGTTCCCTGATTCCCCAAGGAATTTTTTGAGGGGGGGCTATAGGGCTCCGGCCGTAGTGGCTGGGCCGAGTGCCAAGGCCAAGGCCACGGAGGCCGATCTGCCATGGCTCCCCGAGCTGCCTGCTCCACCATGGCCCCCTGAGCTGCCCGCTCCGCCATGGCCCCTTGAACTGCCCGCTCCGCCATGGCCCCCTGAGCTGCCTGCTCCGCCATGGCCCCTTGAACTGCCCACTCCGCCATGGCTCCCTGAACTGCCTGATCCACTATGGGTCCCGGAACGGGTACCGCCCTGGAGGCCTTCCGTCCCGTGTAAGCCTGTCCCTAGAGGCCTCCAGAGCGTAATGCGGGAGGTAATGTCACGCCCATGGACTGCCCCTGTGTTCCTGTCTTGTGTTTTGCTCCCCATGTGCTCCCCGTGACCCAGTTTCTCCTCGTGTTGATTGTGTTCATTTGATTCAGCTGTGTCTCTGTAATTACCTCGTTTAGTTCCTGTTATTTAGCCCAGTGTTTTCCTGTGTCGAGTGTCCGGTGTTTAATGTCATTTGAGTCTCCTGCGTTTCCTATGTTCCCTGATTTTTGAGTTTATTAAAGTCTGTTTGTTTAAGTTTATTCCCACGTCTCCTCGTCTCCTCGTCTCCTCACTCCTTCACAGTGGCTAAAGTGTGACAGTTAGTGTTTAATGTTCTATTGTGTTAATATTTAAATTTAAGTTGGTTTCAATTGTATTTCCCTATATTAGAACATTAGGACATTTGGCCTACACACACACACACACACACACACACAAACACCTAGGCAGGCAAATGAGAAGGTTTTTTAAATTATTATTATTTATTTATTTATTTATTTTTATAGGGTTTTATTGGATTACAATGTAGTGCAAGGGTTTTCTAGGACAATTTAGGAAACACTTTAGAATACTGTTCTGTCGTTAATGAATAACTACACAGGAACACATAAGTAACGCAATATTAGCACTCTGGTAACTACTAGTAACTAACGAGGAATTCTGATTAATGAATTAGTAAGTAATAGTGCTTAGTCGAATGTGGTAGTTCACTATTAGCTAATCAGTAACTACTATTTTTTCATATGTTCCCGAGAACTACTAAGAACTTGTCATGATCTTGCTCTTGTTCCCCTGTCTTGTGTTTGGACATTTGTGTTACTTCCTGTCTAGAGTGCCATTTGTAGTCAACTTGTAGTCCTATTGTTTCATTGGTCGTCTTGATTGCTTTCAAAGGTGTTTCATGTTACCCTGTCATCCTGTTAGCTTCTGTGTATAAATAGCCCAGTGTTTCAGTTAGTCTTTGTCAGTCGTTGTCTCTGCGAAGTTGTGGTGTGTTGTTTCTTTTGCCTGGTTCTCCCCAAGTTATGTTCATCGTTTGATGCTCCGGATTACTTTTGTTTTATTAAACTTCCTACTGCTTGCATTTGGATCCAACCTCTGCTCTTCCTTGGACTGACGTGTAACAGAACGACTGACCGACATGGATCCAGCAGCAGTGGAGATTATGCGCCGCCAAATAATAGGACTACAATTTGACTACAAATGGCACTTTAGACAGGAAGTAACACAAATGTCCAAACACAAGACAGGGGAACAACAGCAAGATCATGACAGAACTACTGTATAGAGGTTCATAATTAATAAGAATAATGCAATGACTTCAGTCAATATTAGGAAGTTATCATGCTTCTAACTTTAGAATACTGATCCAAGTAATTAGTAGTTCCTTTAGAAGGATTTGATAATACTTGAGTCATTACTAGTGGGTTACCATGATCTTCACTGTAGTTACTAATTAGCTAATAGTGAACTACCACTTTCAAATGAGTGCTATTACTTACTAAATTGTTATTCAGAGTTTCTTGTTAGTTACTTGGTACTTACTAGATTGTTAGTTGTGCATTAGTCATTTGTTCCTGTGCAGTTATTCATTAACGACAGAACAGTATTCTAAAGTGTAAACGCAATTTGTGACAATTTCTACAGTGAACACATAAAAGTGAAAGTTACTCATCTACAGTATTTGTTCTGTTTTCGGAAGTAGCGCAAGTGCATGCAGTACGTCAGGAATTTAACATGGCATCAGATGACTTTTGCCAACTTAGTACATCGCACCAACTTGTGAGGACATTTTATGTATTCTCAATGGTCAAAACGGCTCATAAATGATCCTAAATCTATTGAGGTGTACAGGTGAGAGTTAATTTTAAGGGTTAGGGTCAGGTGCTTTTAGATTGATTTATTGCTTTTCGATTCATGAACCAAGCATCTAGTTTGGGTTAGAGATCTGAGCAAATCGATAACATTTTATTTAAGAGCATAACATCTCCCAAAAACATGCAGAAGAGGGTTCTTCAGTAGGTGGCCTGTGGGCTGGAGACACAAATGTTTGGCCTGCGCCCCACGCTGAAATCAAATGTTTATGCACCAAGCGCAATCTGTGACAATTTTAGTAAATAGAAAACAAAAAACGAAACAAAAAGTCCCAAAAACACAATATACTACTCAAAAATGTGGGAGTGTAGAAATGTTCCCAAGGTTAACCCTATGTTACCCTAAAGCCCAAAGTATACTTCATTTTTTTACGCAAATGTTTTTTTTACATATGCACACTGTTGAATGCACAGCTTTTCAAAGTATACTCCATTTGACAGCATGTGTGGACACATGCGCATTATAGAGATTTGTCCTTGACCAGTGTCTGCAAAAGCGATAAAAATGTCTTTATGTTGATTTAAAATAGAGTTGCGGCTGTCTTTTAATCCCCTCATACATGAACTCATCAACGCAGGCGCCTATTGTTTTTGCCGTCTTCAGTAGTTTGTTGTTGTTCTTGTTCCATCTCCTCCATTTCTCTTCTGAAAGTTAAACAATGGCCCAGTTCAGTGTTGACACCTTGTGGACAAACTAAGTAAGGCAAAAAAACATTAAAAGCGCTTGTGCGAGTGGTTACAAACATTGGACAGTGCACGTACAGTATGTGTGTACTCTTCTGCTGACGAAATTCATGTCATGCGTATTATACACAATCCCGAAAGTATGTAAAAAGTGGGCTTAACCCTAAAGGCCTGTTCTGACACAAATGTTCGGCAAAATCAGTCAGATTTTTGCATGCAATTTTGTCTGTTCAGACTAATGCATAAAAAATGGCAGACGGGCTGAATGAAAATGCAGATTCACTCTCAGTAGGTGGTACATACGGAAATTTGACGCTGCACAACTTTCTGTTTGACACTGCTTGTCAACAAAGCAAGTCAAATGGTATTTACATGTTTTTAAACAGCCGTTCAGATTTTTGTATTCACTATGGTGCTTATCAAACACCAAGTCCTAGTTTTATGTAACAGCAGTGGCTCTGGGAATGTGACCAATAGCTCAAATCTTATTGGTTGGCCATTTTCCTTTGTCTTGGTGTGAACAGGTCTTAAACCCGGAAACGTTGAATCATGTGTTTATTATGTGCCATATACATCTGGGCATCATAGGATCCTGGGAACATATGAATCCCAAAAATGCAACAGGTAAAGATCTTGATTTGAAAACCGGATCTACTGGATCTTAATGTTCTTGTTATATGACATTAGCTCTTGTGCAGTTAGCAATTAACTACCTCCTTCCTCCTGCCATTTTCTGGTCTGTGGTTCCTTTGTTAAAACCAGTTTCCTGTCAACCATCTTTCACCAAGTGTTTATAAGTGGTAGCTTAGCTGGCATTTTCATTTACTAGCTAAAAGGCAGAAAAGGAACAATACTCGTAATGGCACGAGAGCTTAAAAGTTGGTCCTTTTGGCGGGCAGTATTGGCCGAGTTTGTTGGGATGACCATTTTTGTTTTTATTGGCATAGCCTCTGCCATCGGAAACAAGCACAACAGATATCCTGACCAAGAGGTTAAAGTAGCTTTAGCTTTTGGCCTGGCCATTGCCACATTGGCTCAGAGTTTGGGGCATATCAGTGGAGCCCACCTGAACCCAGCTATTACTTTAGGCCTTTTGGTTAGCTGTCAGATCAGTTTCTTCAAAGCCTTCATGTATATCGTTGCCCAGATGTTGGGAGCTGTGCTGGCAAGTGGCATTATGTTCAAAGTTAGTCCTGACCCTGAATCAACACTGGGCCTCAATATGGTAAGTTGCTTTATACATAATATGAAATCACAATTGTATTACGTGGTTAATTGTCACATGGGGAATGTGTTAAGGGCTACTATAAGTTGCACAAATGTTTATTTTGTCTAGCTGTGGTTAATTGTTTCAAATTCAAAGTAGTCTTTTTTCTTTTCTTTTAATGTTTTCATTACAATTTCTGTTGGCCGGAACAATTGTTTGTGTTTTTGTATATTATCTTCTCCATTTTTGCTCTTTCGTGAATTTTATTTCATATATGTTTAAACTTTACAATAAAAAGTCTGCAATATGTTTGTTAAATGAGCTGTGTCTTTTTCTTCTGACAATAATGGTGCCACTGTTCAAAATTCACCCAAATGTTAGGATTTATTCTTGAAATCACATTTATTATCGTGTCTGTCTTGCTATTGTAATGTGACTGTAGTAGCATAATTATGTTCAATCACTTTTTGCATCTTCACAATGTAATCCAATATTTTATGTTTTCTTATTTTTCTTATAGCTGAGTAACGGTGTGAAACCGGGTCAGGGATTTGCCATTGAGCTTTTTGCAACCTTTCAGCTGGTCCTCTGTGTCCTGGCCACAACAGACAAACACCGAACTGATGTTACAGGCTCTGCACCCCTAGCCATCGGACTGTCCGTTGGTTTAGGGCACCTGGTAGCAGTAAGCACTTCATAATTAACTTTTCATCAACCAAAAGTAAATGATACACAATGATCTTGGAAATTAGATCAGTGGACTTCCAATAAAGCTTAGTAAAGTCTCTATTCTGCTCTGTGTCAGCTTGCTCATCATTCCTGTCCTGTCTCCAGATCAGTTACACCGGATGTGGCATCAACCCCGCTAGATCTTTTGGACCAGCCGTTGTTCTTGAATCATTTAAAAACCACTGGGTATGTTTTTCCCACATTTTTTTATTTTCTATTAGATTGTTGTAGGAACAAATGGCAACACTTTATTCTGAGTCCATTTTAGACATTCTACTAACTGTAAGTAACTTTGCAACTACATGTCAACCAGCGGTCATCAGAGTATTAGTGACTGTCTGCTTTATATCTTCTAACACTTTATATTGATGCTCCCAACACACATTCTACTGTAGTCTAAGTAACTTTGCAAGTACATGTCAACTTATTCTACAAACCCAAACCCTAACCTATCAGTCTACTAATATGCTAATGAGAGTTAGTTGACATCTAGTTGCAAATTAATGAGTTAGTCAACATGTAGTTACAAAGTTACTTTTACTTACTATAATGTCTAAAGTGAACTATCGAAATAAAGTGTAATCAGGGCTGGGTAGTAACTGATTACAGGTTCTAAAAAAATAAGTACTTGTAATTAGATTATATTACATTTTTAAATACTCATAATCAGACTACAGTTACGTTGATATTGATTACATGATTACATATCATTTATACATGTGGTCACATGACATGCAGATAAACAGGTATAATATTTCATGTTTGATTGTTAAAGATTTATTTTATTTGAACATTTTTATGATTTAATTAACTACTAGCTTTTCATTAAACTCACAAACCCCCTGCAACTCTAGGGGAGTTGGAAAATGAGCCTATTTTCAAAAATAGTGGAGTGTTTCTTTAACGAACCCCAGTCTGGGAAGCTTTGATCTAATATAATGTTTAATGCACTTTATGTTCTTAATAACAACAAATGGAATATATTTTCTTTCTCTTTGTATTTTTATATCAATGTGATAAACAAGTTAGGTCAAAAGTAATCTAAAAGCAGTCTGATTATATTACCTGAAATGTGTAATGTAATGGATTACGTTACTAACTACAATTTTTGTCATGTAATTTGGAATCAGTAACGGACTACAATTTCTAAGTAATCTACCCAGCACTGAGTGTAACCGAACAAATCACAATTGCTTTTTGAATAAAATCAAGAATTAATGCCAGTTTATTGCTTTATGATTTGGTTATATCCTATGTTAAAATGCACTGGCAAATAGTCAAAACACTTGTTTTTGCATAATTAAACATTGTGACACATAGTTGTACTTCCTGTAATGTTCTTAAGCCAGAAAGTGATTGGTTCTTTTAGATAGACTTGTTCTTTTGCAAGAAAGTAAAAGTCCTATGTGCAAAAACGACAATTTTATTGCTTTGTTATTTCTCAAAGTAATAATTATTTCCTCACATAGATATACTGGATTGCACCCATGTGCGGTGGGGTGGCTGCTGCTCTTGTGTACGACTTCTTGCTCTGCCCAAAAAAGGAAGCGCTTCGCAAGCGAATGAACGTTCTGAAAGGCACAGCTGATCCAGACTCCTCCGCGACAGAAGCCCTAATTGAACCCCGAACCCCCAGATCTGGTTCTGGTCAGTGGCCCAGGTCCTGAAAAGTGTCTCGTAAATACACCTGCTCGTTATGTCCTTGGTTTTGATATGTAGATACCTGGTAACTCCAATGTCTACATACAATACCAAAGCATACAATAGCATTTCACTTGTCATTGTCAGCTTATTTTCTAGCTAAATTGACTACTTGCACAGCTACTTCTACCGTGTTTTACATAACATCTCAGGAATCTCCTGTAATTCAGTGCACTTACAAATGTATTCATTGGAAGGCAATTTATTTCTCCTTTAAGGGCTGGCAGATGACTGAATAAATTAATCTTGTTTTCAGCATTAATGTGACTTATCTTGACTTTTGAATTTGCCATATCAATATTTGTTTTCCTATTAATTCATATGGTTATAAATATCAAATGTTACCATGCTGGCAGCCTTATACTGTATAAGTAGTTGTGGTCTTACGTTCACGTTGCACCTTTTCTTTTTTTTTTTGTAGTACCCTCAATAAGCTATTTCACATCATCTTATCTTGTGGATTCTGCAAGGAGTATGTTAACTTATTTACAATTTATTCTTATAACCAGAAACCGGTGAAAAGTTTGAAATAATTAATTTGGAATAATTGTTGTTGAAAGAAGACTGTATTTATCTGATCAAAAAATACAGTAATACTGTGAATTATTATTACAATTTAAAATAACTGTTCTGTATTTGTATATATTGTAAAATGTAATGTATTCCTGTGACGCAAAGCTGAATTTTCAGCATCATTACTCCAGTCTTCAGTATCACATGATCCTTCAGAAATCATATATGCTGATTTGCTGCTCAAGAAACATTTCTCATAATCAATGTTGAAAACAGTTTTTTGCTGTGTAATATTTTTGTGGAGACCATGATACACAAAACAAATTGGGGGCAATTTAAAAAACAAAAGCAAATTAATAATACATTTATTCTGCATTAAATTGATCGAAAGTAACAGTAAAGACATTTATAATGTTACAAAATTATTACATTTCAAGTAAATTCTGTTTTTTTTTTCCAAAGAAAAAATGTAGCACGATTTCCACAAAAATATTAAGCAGCAAAAACCGTTTCCAAAAACATTCAAAACGTTCAAAAATCTTAATTACTCCAAACTTTTGACTGGTAGTGTACATATATATTATATGAAGGGATGAGTTTCAATCTTCTGCTCTTCTATGCTAAATAGCAAACCACATTATGTCAAATTGGAAGTACGTACGTTTCTGAGGCACTGGCATACCAAATTTGCAAAAAAACAGGTTTCCCTAACACTATCCCCATCTGCAATTGACTGAACAAATGGTCCAGCCAGGCTATTGGGTGTCTCTGGGTATTAAGCTGGGATATAGAGGAAAAAGTTTTAACATTGATAGAATTAAACAATTCATCTGCAAATCTGTCGCAAAATATTCTGAACATTATACTGAGTGTTTTATGAGAACACTTCTGCAAAACAGCTAACAAGTACAAACCGACCTGATGTCAACTTGTGCATCACCTCCAGACTAACGGATACTAAAGCTGTCACACGAGTCAGCAACTTGTTGACGGTCACAAATTACAAATAATTTCACAAAGCTGGCTGTTGGACGATGTCACGACCTGAATGTCTCAATAACTGTTAACATAATTTAAAAATGTAATATCCACTAGTACATTTGAAAGGATGGATTTGGTTTCCTATTTGGCACGGACAGAGTTATTGTATGCATGGATCCACTCACGTATAACGTTTTTAATTAGCACTACACCAAACCCTATTAACTAACTACAAGTAAACCTCTTTAGGGACAGCTTTTCATTCATCATCTAGCATCTGTTTAATGTTTTAACACCGTTAGAAAAACAAAGGGCCGTATCAAAATGCATCAGAGTGGAACTGCTTTGGAGGGATGCAAAGACTTGCTGGCGTAAGAGCTTTTAACTTCCCCTGTAGCAATCGAAACACATACAGAGAGAGAAGAGTATATCGGGTGGCTTTGCTGGGGGTGGAGTGACACTTCTGAACGGCATTTATCGAGTGACAGAACTGCAACACCCAAAAATTCAGTTATCAGTTTCCTCACATTGTGCTGATGAGACATGAACAAACACATGCCGTAGATCTCCTCAAGCCTAGCTGTATTGCTAGACAAAAGCGAATTTCAAAACAAATGAAAGGAGTTTGCTATGATGTAAAAAGGAAAGACATCATCTTTGTGAATAAAAGGACCAAATCTATTCGATATTCCTGGAGCTTCTATTTGACAGTCCTATGGAATAGTTTGTCTTATAGCATGATTGATAATGATATGAAGATTAAAAATACACGTGAATGAAGTGACGCAATGGAAAACATGTTGTGATATATGTGCCAGCACTTCCAAGGACACAATGCACATCCAGTTTCAATTATAGGCCTATTAAATACCTGTTAGGCCATTTATTTTAGAATTGATTAGATATGGAATAAAGATGGATTCATACTCCGGATGATAGCATTAAAACACCTAATCCACCATCTTTATTCTGCACTGCTAATCCTGTAACAGTGTACTTTCAGGGTTTTCTTTTTTTTTAGTAATAGAAAAAATTTTTGAGAGTTCTGACTTGTGTTTGTCTTTTTTCTTTCTTTCTTTTTTTGTGTTTTGTTTTTTGCTTTGCAGGAGCTGAGTAAAGATGGATTGCATGCAGAACCACCGGGCAAACTCGTCTCTTGACAGATATAAATTGACTGGATATTAGATCTGCAGATCTGTATAATACTTCAATTATAAGTAATACTGCATTGATGGTTTATGTCAGATTAAATATATATATATTATTCTTAAAAATAAGATGATTAAAGGTCTGTCTCCATTACCATTATTATAACATTAGAATCTACTGTCTTACTACAAATAAATAAACTAAGTGAAGAACAAAGGTAAAATTAATTCATCATAGTTGTTTGTAACTTCACACAGCAACATGAGGGCTATATAAATCAAACAAAGGGGCTCACATGACACAATCTAACCACTGAAAACATGACACATGACTAAGGGAGCACATGGCAAGAACATGTGAGGGAACAGGAAGTCACATGACAAACAAGAGAATAAAAAATATAAAACCTAAACCCAAAAACCAACATTATCCCTCATTGGGACTGTAAATAGTGTTCTGTACTGGTCTGTGCAGCCAAAGACTGAACAGTTAGCATGTTTTGCTCAAACTTTCGCCATGGCATTAGAGCTGGTACAACGTTGTCGCTTACAAAATCAAAATAACGGTGCCGTGGGTGTAAACTTACAGATTAAGGGGCGGTAATATTATAATGAGATCCCTTTGCCACGTCACCAAGGGAGCGAAATCAGACGCGCTCGTTTTCTCAGACGTTTGCAGAAAAAGGCTTCCCAAAACAACTTTACTGGGTTAATCTTTTTCACGTTTCCTTGGTTGGTAGATGCACGGGGACCTGATTATAGCACTTAAAACCTGGAAAAGTCAGATTTTCATGACATGTCACCTTTAATAGAAATGCACCTTTTCATACGGACATAATTAGAGAATATTACAAAATCGAGTGGGCGAGTTTTCCTTATATTTATTTTATTATTCATATAAAAAATAATAATAACCTGTTTTGGTTATATTTACTATTAATTGCCCAGCTCCCTCTGTCAATGATCCAGCACCCCATCAGCACCTGCGTTCAAAATTCTTTGGCAAGAAGCGAGATTTCTCTTGCACTTTAGGACTGTTGAATTAATTAAATTTTATTTGGTTTATTTCGAATTTGGCTTCTAAGGATTATGCAAGCAAAATGTTTGAGGTAAAGCTATTATTGTGCTGCATTTCATCTAGCAAACCTTCCTTTCCTTCATAGGGCCTTCATTCCTCCCAAAAAGTCCAAACTTAACGTCAAATCAGTGATTGTTGTAAAAAGCAGTCTACTGTTGTTAAACTGCAGAACACGTTTGATAATAAAAAGAGTTATTAAAAGAGACACCGGGATGGAAAATTTCTTTTGTAGGATATTATTTACCTGAATACTACTGTTGGTTAGCCTAGTATTGTAATATTGCAATTACAAATAGATGTTTTATATTCATTTGTTTTTTATAGCCTAATTGTAATTTGTTCGAACATGCTGTTTCTTTGGTATAGATTTTAAAATTTCAGAATATAAAGCCAGTTTGTTTGTAAAAAAAAAAAAAGTCAAGAAGCACCAGATTGTTAAGCAGTAGGCCTAGGCCTATTGTAAGAGTAGTAAAACCATTAAAACCTTAACAATACTCATCCCTACTTCCCTACTTGTATCAGTAGGAGAGAGATCATAACACTTTTGGAAATGGATCTTTACTATCCGAAATTAGGCATATTTTGCATTTTAGGTTGATTTTGAGCACAAAGTAACTATTCCTTATACTCAGAGAATGTGGCCTTCCTCGTGAGCATGTGTGAAGGAATGTGTTTTTTGTAGAGCCAAATATGGTCATGTGATGTGTCATCTTTCCCAAAGGTGAGTCAGTGCTTCAGCCTAATGTTCTTAATTACTCCAGATGAAGAACCTATTTTTACAGTTATTGTGGTTGTTGAACAGAGTGATAAGGGGATGAATTATGTCAACTTTTATTTTTGGCACATACATAGATGTTAAAACATCCAGTCCTGTCAGTGGCCTTATTAAAATTGATTAAGTGTGTGCTTACTAAAACAAGTTTTGTTCTTGAGTGATTGTTTGTAATTCATTGCTGTTTAATTATTACGAAGTGAATTACAAAGTGTGTGTGTGTAGGCTATATATATATATATGTATATATATATATACACATAGGCTGCACACAAATACTGTGGGATGGTGATGGAGTTTTCGGAAACATTTAAATGTGCGTGCAAAACAATCCCACACCTGTCTAGACCCTGTAATACAGTATATAGCCTACAAACAGTATTACTTTAATTCATCATGAAGCGTTAATATGTGACTACCTTGAAACAAATAATTTGATGACAATTGTGCTCTTCTAGTGGTCCTCCAGGTAAAGTTCTTCTTCATGGCTAAAGTAGCGGCGCGCCACCAAATCATCAGTGTAGCGTGAAAATCATCACGACTCTGCTTCTTAGAAGATTTTTTGTTTGTTTTATTTAATGTGACCATATTTGTTTAAAGAGTTATGATGGGAGTCATACTGCATCAGATTGAAGGAAAAGCAAAAATCTGAAAAAAATAAATAAATAAATAATAATCATGATTGCACAGCAGTCCAGTAGGTGGGGATATGCATGTGTGTCGCCGATACATTTAAACTAACGAAGAAGAAGGAGAACCGGAAGTAGATCGGGTCAGACGGACAAAGGGCCAGTAAAGATGTCTCCGCCGTCTTACTTCGACTTCAGTGAAGCCAGAGATAAATTTACGGTAAATTATCATCACAACCGCTTTGGCATTGGCAGACGATTTTAAAATGAGAGTGTTTTGTTTCTATCCCTTCCCTGCCAAGTCTCTTTTATATATATATATATATATATATATATATATATATATATTATGATGCATTGGGCCTATTGGACTCGAGACGTGTGTACAGTAATTTGTTAGTGAATACTTTAAAATAGATGATGATGTTTGTGGAGGACATAATGTGGTACTATGATGGAAATACCGTGTTACTAAATGAAAAACATGGGATTACTATGCTATATGAAGAAAAATAACATTTTCACTGTACTTTGGTGTGACTATGTCTGGAAACCACGTGATATCGTGCCACCTTTAGTGTTTTTGTCAGAAATGCTATAACCACTGTACTCAAATTTGATCAAACTAGCTTT